TGATGTGTCTTGGTGTGGGTCTTTTCGGGTTCACCTTGTTTGGGACTCTCTGTGCTTGTGTGACTTTTTTCTTCCCCACTTCAGGGAAGTTTTCTGATATTATTTCTTCGAGTAGGTTTTCTAATCCTTGTTCATCTTTCTGTTGTTCTGGCACCCCTATTATTCGTATGTTGTTTCGTTTCATGTTGTCCCAAAGCTCCCTTAGGCTCTCCTCCTGTCTTTTAATTTTTTTCTCCAATTGCAGTACAGTTTGGGTGTGTTTTGCTTCCTTGTCTTCTAATTCACTAATTCGGTCCTCCGCTTCTCCTAGTCTACTGTTGATGCTTTCAATGGTGTTTTTTATTGCAGCTATATCGCTCTTCATTTCTTCTTGGGTCTTGCATAAGTTATTGATTTTTTCATCTGTTTCTTCTTGCTTCTTGCATAAGTAGTTGATTTTTTCCTCCATCCGGTTTATGCACGCTAGGACCCTTATTCTGAATTCTTTTTCTGTCATGTTGCATGCCTCTGTCTCACTTAGCTGCTTTTCTGGCGAGTCCTCCTTTTCTTTCCTTTGGGGGTTTCTTTGCCTACCCATGTTTGATCTCACTGACATATCTAGATGTTGAGTCGTTCAGTGGCTGCTCCCTGGGTGGCAGTGGCTCCTTGGGCTGTGGTTGCTCCTTGGGTGGTTGCGGTAGCAGCTGCTCCTCAGTTGGCAGCAGCTCCTCTGGTGGGTGTTGTTCACAGCTGTGGTGGCTCTTCTGGCTGGTGGGGGGAGGCTTCACGTACAGCTGCTGTTCCTCAGACAGAGGGTGTGGTGATCAGGAGGCTGCTGTTGCTTGGATCTGCTTAGTCCTGCCAGGTATTTAGGAGAGTGTTGAATTTCCCTGTGATACACTGTTCCTCCGTGTTGTAAATCACAGTCCTGATTTTAAAGCAGGCCGTATTTGTGATCCAGACTGCCTTAATTTGTGTTCACCTAAGAGTCAGTTTGTGGCTCAGCCTCTGGGTGGCAGTGTTTTGGGGTTGGCCTCTGAGGCTATACGGCTTCTCTACTTAAAACTGGTTTGGGGAGGTCAACTGCCCAGAGCTGGTTTTTTAATCGTTACCCTGCTCTGCGTTGTTGGTGGGACTCAGATTTTTAAACCATTAACTAGTCTGTAATCACTGTTTGAGAGTGGCAACAGTGAAATTTTTAGTGTTATCTTTAAATGTTATCATATGCTAAATAAGTTATTGAGATTTGCATGTATATTTAGTCATTTGTTAAATAGGAATTTACTCTTGAACTCTCCCAGTTTAAAAACCAAATCTTGTGGGTGGGTGGGAAGAGATTAACCAAAGAACTTGTATGCATATATGCATAACCCATGGACACTGCAGGGTGCAAAGCTCTCTGAGCCCAGCTGCCCAGCGTTCCACTGGATCTTAAAGCCGCAGTTTAGGACAGCATGGGCCTTTGAGATTACTGAGTCCTCCCCGAACCTCCACCCTCATTTTCCTTTGAAGAAATGGACACCTAAAGAAACGAAGTGCTTTGTCCAATATCTCACAGCTCTTTGGTGCCATTACTAGTCTGTTATAAAATTCCTGGAACTGTCTACTCACTGCTATATTTTAGCCTTATACATTGCAGAAAGTGTCCTGATCAGGAATCTAAGTCCTGAGTTCCAGGTCCCACTCTCCCGCTTACAGACTGAATAACTGGGGGGTGGAACCCTGCATGAGCCTCAGCTATGGATCTGCAATCCTAGAACTGGTACTGTCATCCGCCTACCTATCTCACAAAACCAAGGTTGAAACTACACACGTGAAAACACTTTGTAAGGCATGCATATCTCTTACAGATATAAAGCACTGTTATTGCCTAGCCCAGGGGTGGGCAAACTTTTTGACTTGAGGGCCACAATGGGTTCTTAAACTGGACCGGAGGGCCGGAACAAAAGCATGGATGGAGTGTTTGTGTGAACTAATATAAATTCAAAGTAAACATCATTACATAAAAGGGTACGGTCTTTTTTTTTTTAGTTTTATTCATTTCAAACGGGCCGGATCCGGCCCACGGGCCGTAGTTTGCCCACGGCTGGCCTAGCCCCTTTACAAAGATTATGGCATTTTCAAAAAACCCGAAATGTTTGCATGTTAGCAGATTTATTCAACTCATACTTTACTCTTCTTCCATTTCTTCATTTTTCCAAATGCACTTGGAATGTATGTAGCTTGAAATTCTATTATACGCCTCCTATCACACAACAGTAACATCTCATAAGGGCTATATATTACTGAGTTTAAATCCACTCTTAAAAAAAATGCCTACTCCCTCCTCAAAATAAGAACAATGAGAAAACTCACAGCTGCCCGGCTGGAATGGCTCAGTTGGTTGAGCATCGTCACCTAAAGGTTGCCATTGGATTCCAGGTCAGGGCACAACCTGGGGTGCAGGTTCGATCCCTGGTTGGCATGGATGGAAGGCACCCAATCAATGTTTTCCTATCACATTGATGCTCCTCTTCCCCACCCCCTTTCCCAACTCCCTCCCTTTCTCTCTCTAAGCATGCCCTTGGGTGAGGATTTAAAAAAGAAAGAAAACTCACAGCTAATTATCCAACTCTCAGTCATTACCCAATATCTTATCCCTTCCTGCATGAGAGGATGGAAAGATCCCTGGGACAAAAGCAACGTAAATGACATTAAACATTGGCACTGTCTCTTTCCCTGGCATCATACCATAACACACTTATATATTTACATGAGTGTGTCCAGCATCCAGTGTGGGGTGGGTGTTGAGGGTGGAGGAGTATAATAATGAGGAAGAGAGGTGGAGAAGAGCACAGAATTAGCTCATTGAATGTGATTATTTTAATAAGAGCGTCTTCCTTTCTGCAGTCACACCCAGAATTATACCTGTAACACACTGCTGCCTTTCCTGTCTTAGCAGGTTTACAGTGTGAGTTTATAGTCCCATGACGAATGTTTTTGTCATCTTCTACTTAAGTGAAACACACCACCCAATGGGCTCTGGAATGAGAAAATGTCCCTGTATCTTCTAGGACACCTGTTTTAAGGGTACAGGCCACTGGCAAAGCAAGGTGTCCTTGCCCCAACAGACTTTTGTTCTCTCTTCCATGCCACCCCAAGTTACTCAGGCATTACCAACCCCAGCCATGGATGCAGAACAATGTGCAGAAACTCCCATTGGCTTCTGAGATACTTATCACTGTGATGAGTTGGTGCCCAGAATAAACACAGGGATTCCTATCTATATGTTGGCAAGACATACAGATTAAAATAGAGAATTTCAAACCAGAAGTCAAATGTTTCCAAATACAAATAAACAATCTGTATTTGTTACAGATTTTTGCATTGCCAAGAGGGTGGCTGGAGTTTTACTGACCCAGTTACTATGTAGTTAGCAAAGGCACTTTCCCCTGGTATAGGAACTATGAAGGCCCCAGTCCCACAGGCAGGAAAAGATGTTGAAAACCTGCCATTTTGGTTCCAGAAAGGTCATGTGAGAGCAAACCTTTTTTTTAAAGGAAAATTTAAGATAAATTGGTATACTATTTAATATGATTAAAGAAAAAAGTGGGAATCTGTAGATTACTTAATGCTGTGGGGTCTTCTCTAAGCAGGCCTTTATCATAAGGATTTGTTGCAAATGAGGCCTTGCTGCTGTAGGTCTCTCTGTACTTCTGTCATTCCTTTAACGGGATCTGAGGTGCCCTGCCTTATGCCAAATCCCATGCAACCAACATCAGAGTAGTCCCGCCTTATTTTAAAATGCAAAACAGTTTAGAGAACTACATTATCTATTAGCATATAACGTATTTTCCGATTTCTTATGTGTTGTGTGTTTTTTTCTGTATCTTATCAATTTAAAAATATAAAAATTAAAAAATCTATGGGATACACTGAAATCCAGAGAGTGTACAATATAAATCTTATGAAGATAATTTACTTTCAATGATGTACTTTTAGAAATACTGACTAACCCAAATTAACTTCAAGATCATTTATTTTTCAAAAGTTCCAAGAAGACAGTTGTGGATTCTCTGAGCAGGCTATTTCCTCAACTGAGATCTGGGGCAACATCATCCCTTAGGCGGGTCTGAAAAGATCAACTTTCAGATAAAAATATATTTTATAGTTAGATAAGGCTTGCTTGTTTAGTTGCTTCAAAGCCCTGCGTGACAACATCCTCCCATTTTGAAGATTGAAAAATGGTTTCAGTGAATGGAAATAACTTCCTGATTAGTTGCGCTACTCATGTGTTTGCAAACCACAGAAGAAAAAGAGAAAGCTGCGTCAAGGCCAAGACCGTCTGGTGTGACTCAGGATTCCTCTGCCTAATGCACCAACTCACAATAGGGGTTGCTTCTGGGAGGGGAGAGAGAATGGACAACAAGGTTTTCACATTCCACTCTTTATACTTTTCTATTTTACTTTTACATGACAAATGTATCCATGTCTTCCTTGATTTCCTAGCTCTTCAGAGAAGTTAAGGTTATTATAAGCTTATGAATGAATATTTTCTGGGACAAAACTATTTTGTGGCTAGTAGGTAAAGTCAGGTGAAGACAAGAAAAAAAAAACAAACCCATAAGTTTTGGGTTCAAGATTTCCATTAACTCTTTTTTTTATATATAGACTTAATTTTTTTAAATGCTTTTTAAATTTATTTCAGAGAAGAAAGGAGAGGGAAAGATAGAAACATCAATGATGAGAGTGAATCATTGATCAGCTACCTCCTGCATGTCCCCCACCCCCCCTCCACTGGGGATTGAGCCCCCAACCTGGGCATGTGCCCTGATCAGGAATTAAACCATAACCTCCTGGTTCATAGATAGACGCTCAACCACTGAGCCACACCAGCCGGACATCCCATTAACTCTTGATAACATTTGAGTATTATACAGCTTTACACAACTGCTATAGGGCTTATTAGATTGAAGGCCAAGTTCAAGCTCTCCAAATATTTTAGGGGCTGGGACACTTGCAGGGTGCCATTCATTTCTTACTTGAGTAGGTGGTGTTCTTGAACCTTTTGTAATACTGTTCTCTGAGTAGAAACTGCTCCTGGGATGGCCATTCCAGTTGTAACCTTTTCTCCACGTCAGAAGGGATGAATCCAGACTTGCAAATATCTGCAGAAGGGAGATAATTTAGAGAATCTATTTTCAGTGATAAGGTTGAAATTCCATACATTTATTTAGTTAGGTACTTATGTGGCTAAAGTAGGCTAAGTTTCTGGTTATTAGGTATGCGATCAGAGAAAATATATTCTGTTACAACAAGTCAAATTTGCTGGCTAATCAGTCACCACACACACACAAAAGGGCAGGTTTCTTAAGAAACATCGGCCATACACTGGACACAGAACACTGGACTGGACATAAGTTTACAATTCAGAAAGCTCCTCAGAAATGTGAAATTACCAGAGAGCCCCTCTGAAGAAAACATAGTTCAGTTTTCTTAAGGTTCACCTTCAAAATACAGAGAAATATGTTTTACTACATCTGATTAATTTCCTCTTGCCATAATGGCAGGACAGGAAATGTGGACGTTTTTCCTTCAAATCTGGGATCGTCAAAGCTTCTGAGGCCACAACGTGTGCACCTGGAAAATCCCCCACTGCCCTGTCAGGCAGACTGCGCCTCTTTATCACCAGACAGCGGGCCGGCAGGCGCTCACTGCCAGGCCTGGCTGACCCACCGGCGACTTCCTTTCTTGGAAGTGGCGCATTCTGGCTTTCTGGCAGCCAGTGCCCTATCCATCCCTGTGCTCACAAAGGATGTTTCAGTAGCGCTTGGATAATTCCATTGACCCCCACGCACCCCAAACAGGAAGAAGAAAATTGATCAGTGAAGGGCAGTTTCTGGTCTGAACTTATGAGACCTTCTGAATGCATATGACTGCTGGGAAAGGGCCAAGTCTACACGTAAACTATTCCAATGTGTCATTCAAAAAAAGCCTCCTGCTTTTTTCATTTTTTCTAATTACTATTCTACCAGTTTTTTAAAAATATATTTTTTATTGATAGTATTACAGATATTTCCCATTTCCCCCCCTGCTCTAGCCCCTTATTCTATCAATTTTGACCCAACATGGTTAACTGTTCTAAATATTTCCTAACTGAAGAAAATATGTACTACTAGTATATGAAAAGTGAAATATTATTCATTAATATATACACTATACAAACATTATCATTTAGTAATGTATTTGATGTCTATATAGCACTTACGAAAGACATGGGGCAAATCTTCGTGGCTTCCGTGGGCAGGTTTCTCAGGGGAAGCCCACACACTTCCCATATCAGAACTACCAGAGGAGCTTGCTAAACTTGGAACTAAGGTAGGAGCCCCGATATCCAGATATTTAAACTCACTCCAGGTGAAGTTTGAGAACCACTGCCCAGTAAGTCTTAAAATCTATTCTTAGAAGCAGAATATATCTCACATCCTCTACCTATATCTGACATCCACATTCTATAGGGTATTCCAAAAAAATGTATACACACTTTAATAGCTGATAACTCAATTTTCACTCCTTTTCAGGTTTAACTGACTTGAAATAATGGGTGAAGCCAGACTAAACTTTTAACAAAGAAAATTTATCCTAAAGTGCCACTAGACTTTTATTTTTTTTAATGGGGACACATAAAAGATAAAGTTTACAGTACAAAACCGGCAACAGTCAATGAATTGAGGGCACACAAATATTGAACAAAATGATGATTATTTTTTTTGGTTAATCCTCACCAGAGAATATTTTTTCCATTGTTTTTTCAGAGAGAATGGAAGGGAAAGAGGAATAGAGAGAGATAGAGATAGAGATAGAGATAGAGATAGAGATAGAGATAGAGATAGAGATAGAGAAACGTCAATGTGAGAGAAACATCAACTGGTTGCCTCCTGCACATGCCCAGGCAGGGAACAGGGAGCGAACCCTCAACCCAGGCATGTACCCTTGACCGGGAATCAAACCCACTACCCTCTGGTGCTCAGGCCAATGCTCTAACCACTGAGAAACACTGGCCACGGCCAAACACAATGATTCTTTATGTTTGCGATTCCATTGCTTCACATTATCCGCAGGACCTGGACTAGAATGGCCACCAGTTTGAAAACAGGCATTGACAGAAAAATTATTCATTTCTATAGATTCTTTTAAATTTTGAAAATGGACTATACGTTCGTAAACATGTTAATAGACACTGACTCTATAATCATTCAAAGTGAGTATACATTTTTTTGGACACCCTGTATTTCCAGAATAAAAGGGTTTCAACCCATTGCTATATCTTCAGCCAGAAATACTCTCGTCAGTTTGAGGCACTGCTACCAACATGCTCCCTCCAAGCAGCTCTGTCCTTCAACTCCTGTCGTTGTTCTATTTCCACACAATTAACTCTCCGCTATGCCCAGCACACCTTTGTTTGGTGAAGTCTCACATTCATGAAAACATCAGGAAGAGGAAACCTGCCCACTGCTTCCTTCTTTTGTGCAGGTGCCTCCACAGGTCAGTTGGAAGCCCTTAATCTCTGACTGAATGCCCATGACTAGCAACTTAATGAAAATATATGGTTAATCTTTAAAAAGTTTCACCGTGGTTTAACTGAGATTGCCAGTAACTTCTCTCTTCAAAGCTTGGCTCCTTCTTGGGATCAAAAACGAGAAAGTCTGTCTTGGTGCCACCAAATCTCAGGTATGCAGGAGACAAACCTCTGGCCAAAGTACGAAGCTTTGGAGAACTGTGAGGAAGACAAGCAAGAAATTAAAATTTTTCCCCCCAGAATAATCTGATCAAACATGTTTACTCCCTGTCTCGGTGGACCTATTTCTTCATGTCTAGCTGGACAGGCCGTGGAGGGAGCAGTCATATTGCTATATGGGGGAGTCATCTCATTCTGAATCTTTCTAATGGCCAGGTTGCTCTCTAGGCACCTGGAGGCAGTATGGAGCTCTAACTCTGGCAAAGCAGGATAGTGTTCAATCCGTTAAAAAAAACTCATAACCTTTTATGATTGTTGGAGGGAGTAGGAAAGAGGCTGAAAAGTACAGGAACAAAACAAACAAACAAAAAGTACAGGAACGATGACTTTGTGTTTCTTTAAAAAACAGATTGTCTTCAAAAATTTATGTTCCCACAGAAGTTCATAAATGACATAGGATTCCTCCTCCTCTCCCTAACCAGCCCTTCCCTAAGAAAACCATCCTTTTAAATTTAAGTCAACTAACTGTTCCTGGCCACACTGCTTTCTGGAACGCTCTTCAAACACATAAAATCAATGCTGTGTCATTCTTGGATTGGCCTGATTTTAGTTTACTTCTGGATTTATTTCAAATTGAAAAATCATCCCAGGAAAACTATCTAATTGTCAATATTTCTAACATCCTAGAAATTAAAGCCGAACCTAAAATTTAAAATTTTAAGATGTGCACCTGCTTGATTACACATAATGTTATGTAAAATTTTGGAAAGATTTATTTACTTATGCTCAAGGAAGCGAAATTAAGAGGTGGAAATTGACCAAAGGATAAGTCTCCTGCATTAAAGAACTTCAGTGATTCCTCCTCACCATTTTTTTGTTTGTAACTTGAGAACTTTTTACTGTACTATATAGGCACTTTTTCCTGTCTGAGCCTCTTCCTCCATAAAAAACACTTTCATGATGCTATTTATTTACTTAAAGACAAATATGCTAATATTATAGAGTAAAACATTTTCTTTGACCTAAAAGTTCATTTTCTCTGCATCTTAATAGAACTTAAAATATTTTTGTGGGTCCCAGCACGAGAAAATGCAGTACAAAGTGAGGCTTCAGAAATGTCATTAAACTGGATTCACTCTGACAAACACCCGACAACACCGGCACTCTGGGAAGGACAGCATCGGCCACAGGATCCTCACAACCACTAGAAAATATGCAGAAATGCTCACTTGGACTAGGTAAGGATCCAGAAGACAGTCAGTCCACTAACTGTAGGGAAGAGGACCAGAGCATCATTGTGTAATGGGCACAGAATTTCAGTTTGGGAAGATTAAAGTTTTAAGATGGGTGGCGGTGACGATTGCACAACAATGTGAAAGAACTGAATGTCAGTGGACACTTTAGAATGGTAAATTTTATGCTTGGTATATTTTACCACAATAAGACAAACCAACTGTAGGCACAGTGTGATTTCAACAATGAAAATAATAGATATAGAAGGAGATAAGAGTGATTATTATATGATAAGATGGATGATAGACTCTTTTCTATTGTTTTTCTGTATTTTACCTCTTTTCCATAATAAGCACATGATAGTTTAATTTATACGGGATTTTGTGTGTGTGTGTGTGCGTGTTAATGTTTTTTTAGAATAGATAAAGAAACCAAGATTTACTTAAAGGAGCTATCGCTATCCATTAATTTATTCAATAAATATTCATTGCAGGCCCACTCAGTGCCAAGCATCATGCTAGTTATTGGGGGCACAATGGCAAACAAGACAGAAATAGCTGCAGTTCTCATGTAATGTATAGTCTAGTGATATAGATGAACAAGTAAACAAGCAAGTCCAAAACAGTGCTATGAGAATATACAAAGGGATCCTAACCCAGACTTTGGGCTGGGGATAAAGAGTGGTTAGAGGTTTTCCAGGGGAAATGACTTCATTGCTAGACATTCAAAAATAATAAATCTTATCCAGATCAAAGATAGCGAAGTAGGATTGAAGGAAGTGTTTCAGGTGTAGGGGGAAGTCTGTGCAAAAACCAGAGGCAGGAGAACATATGGCACCACTGAAGAGCTGACAAGTATGGCCAGAGCCTAGAATTGGGGCAAGGAGTCGCTGAGAGAGGATATCTGGTGAAGCAAGTAGCACCATGACACGAAAGGCCTGTAAGCCACCATGTCTACAAGTTCCAACTTTATATGAGAGCAATGGGGAGCCATGGAAGGATTTAAAGCCATGAAGTGGCCTCACCAGACTTTTATTTTAGAAAAGAATCTCAGGCTATAGTATAAATAACTGAATAGAAGGACCAAGACTGTAGTCATAGTAATGTAAACAGAAAGTAATGGGCTGGGGTAAGGTAACAGCAGTGGGGATGGAGAGAAATGGATAAATTCAAGATGCATATGAAGGTAGAAATACCAGATTTGATGTTATTTGAATGTTGGAGAAGAATCAAGAATTGCCCCTGGAAGCATCTTGAAAGAAGGTAATATTTGCTGAGAAGAAGAATAGGTGATAGATTGGAGTTGGGGGTGAAGGGGAGGGGGACTTAGTTTTGTAGAATTTGAGATGCCAATGGAACACTTACCCTTTCAGCAGGCTAAAACATATTTCCATCAGGCCCTTGGCCATGTGTGCCTGAGTTCAGAAGACATATCGGTGAGGTATAGGGTGGAGAGCACTCAGTCTAAGAGTCAGTGACTAGTAACCCCAGCCCACAGGTGCAGAGACATGGCCCTAAAACTGATACAGGACCTTCTTCAGAGTCACTCCACTGCCTTTGGCCAGGCACTGATTCTAGTCCTTGACATTTTGATTGTGTTTGATGATAGAGGAAGCTCATTTAAATCTGTGTAGCTGGTATTTGTAAGATGGGAGAGGCTGGGGCTTTCTGGGAAATGTGGGGGGTGTCGGGGGGAGACTAGCAACAGATAGAGGTGCTGTGGCATCACTAGATGTGCATCTGTGCATGGCTGGGGTCAGATGTATGAGTGTCAGAGCCTAGTTCCCAGTGGTAGTAACTCTACCATCGTGGGTCACTCTCAGTCACATTACCCTGCCTTTATTACCTTCATCCTTAGTTGCTTCCTTGGTTTCCTATCTGTCCCAGTCCCCATCCCTGACCTAAGCCCTGTGAAAGCCCAGACCTTACCTGTGTGGCTCCTCGGAATCGTCACTGTGCCCAGAGAAGCATCTAGATAAGTCCCTGGCACACTGCTGGTGTTTAATAAGTATTGGTTAAGTGAATGAACTATTGAGTCCAGCCTGCTGAAAGGGCAAGTGGGGCCAGACAAAGACTGTTTTCTGGACAAAATAAAAACCCAGTGCTCTGGCTCCTGCCAAGGAAAGGAAGTCAGATGTTTCCAAGTATCGGTATTCAGGACCTTTTTGTTTGTCTCGTTGCAATGGAACATTTTCTTGTTTTGAGAATACAATATTGATGCCCTCTTACAAAAAAAACAAAAACAAAACCAGATTGAAAACAGATGCTAAACATGTCATAAAAATAAAACCGATCAAAGGTATCTTCATCATATATAGGAAAAAGAAAAGGGGGGAAAATCCACCACCGCCACAGTGACATGGAAATAACAAAAGGATACATAAAGCAGCAGCAGATATTCATTTCCGGAGCAGCTGTTAGGGGAAAGAAGTCTGCAGGTATTTTTATATTACCTTATGTCTGACAATAGGCTGCATATGTCTGGCACAAAAGCAAAGGTGTGCTGGAGCCAGCTTGTATTGGCTCGGACCAGCCGGTGAGAGCCAATTGTTAAGTTTTGAGAACCAGTTGTTAAACTGTTGGCAGTTTGAGATGAGCCATGGTGGGACTACTTATAGCAGAAATTGGAAGAAAACTTACATTAGTCTCCCCTCCTCCCAGGAGGCCCATGGTTCAACATTTCCTAGCCCACCACTGTATGAACAGTAATTCAACCCACGGAAGTGGGTAAGACCACTCAGGAAAGTATGTGAAGTGAAAAAACACCTAGGCCAGAAGTCTGAAGAACATCAACATTTAAGACAAGCTAGAGAAAGTCATGGAGAAGAACCGTTAGATAGGTGGGGAAACCCCCAGAAATGGAAGTGACACAGGCCCAAAGAGATGAGATAGTGTTTCAATTGTCAACCTTGCCAAATGCTTTCCACAGACTGTATTAATTTGCTAGGGTGCAGTAACGAAGTACCACACACTGGGTGGTGTGAACAAGGGACACTTATTGTCTTATAGTTCCAGAGGTTAGAAATCTGAAATCAAGGAGTTGGCGAGGCCACCATCCCTCTGAAGGATGGGTCTATTTCAGCCCTCTCCTAGCTTCTGGTAGTTCCTCATAGCAACATAACTCTAATCTTCACAGAGTGTTCTTTCTGTATGCATGTCTGTCTCCAAATTTCCCCTTTTTATAAGGACATCCATCATACTGGATTACAGCCTGCTCCATTCCAGTATGCCCAGTTCTTAACTAATTTTATTTCTGCAATGGCGCTATTTCCAAATAAGGTCACATACTGAGGTACTGAGGGTTAGGACTTCAACATATAAATTTGCAGGGGAACACCCAAACATTCAATCCATGACAGAGACCAACTTGAAAGTTGTTCACTGGATTTTGCAATAAAAGAAGGTGATTGATGTTGGAGAGATTTATTTCATGACACAGTGATGGGGACATTATGAAGGTGGAACAGGAAGGAATGGGCAGGAAGGAAGGCTGCAAAGGGAGAATGAGGGCAGTTCCTGCAGAGGCACGCGTGCAGGGAGGAGTTTGAGATGGGAAAGACTTGAGGATGTTCCTATGCTGACAGGGAGCATTCAATACAAACAGAGATATTAAAGATCCAGGGAAGAGAAGAGATGACTGACAGAGCAAAGTCCTTGGGGAGGCAAGAGGGGACAGGATCCAGAACAAATCAAGTAAATCAAGCTAGAATTGGCCTTGCCCGACCAACTGAACCATCCCATGCACCAAAAGGTCACCAGTTCGATTCCTGGTCAGGGCACATGCCAGGGTTTTAGCTCAATCACTGG